AATTAATAATTTAAAAATATATGGTATTTTATTTATATTAAATTAAATATATTTTTTTTAGATATTACAGCATACATAATAGTAATTCTTTCGTTGGAGAAATAAAATATCCTTTTCCGAGGCCAAACCTCAATTTTAAACTGATTCCGAACTTGATTGGTCGGGCCGGATTGACCGGGTGAATAAGTAAAAATTTTTACATTAGGTTATATAGTTTCTTTCAATTTTATAATATTAAAATTAGAAAAACTATCATTTATAGATTATGGAGATTATATATTGGATAAGATCATTATTATAATTATATTGTTATAATTAGTTATAGTGCAATAGAGAAATTATTTGATTTGACTTGCATCTTAAAATAAAACCAAACAATACTATGCAATAATTAAGATAGATCAACGTAAATATTTAATATTTGGAATATTGATATAGCTCCTGATGTAACGTTTACTTCAGAATTTTACACATATCAATATAAATATAAAATTTCATTAAGAATTTATTAATGTTTCTTAAAAAAGTTTTTGATAAAGGTATATAGATACGGTATAACTGCGTCTCCGGAGATTTTGAAATTGTTATAATAAAATATTAGCCTGATAAAAAGCTATATTTCTGATATGTAAGTTTATTAAATGTTTTTAGAAATAAAATTTTTTGGAGTTTAGATAATACATTATAAAATATAGCATAAAATGAATATATACTAATAAAAATATATATAATATAATATAAAAAAAAATACCATGTGTCTTGAACTAAGAGGGAAAAGGGAGTGTCTTTTAAAACTTCAAATTCCATATTTTGTTTGAAGGAAATGGACAACTTTTTAACGCCCGTTCTTATTGTGATTTAAATAATTTTGGGATTGGAAACAGGGGTTTATCAAAACACTAAAAATTTGAGGATAAAAATAAAAGAATTTAAAAGGGTCCTATATTTATCGCAATAGATCAGAGTTTCTATTAGCGAGAAATGAGGTAAAACATGACACATTCCAGACAGGTCTTTTGGCTGCCAAGCCATGCGAGACGCTTACCAACCTCATTAAGGAGACCTAACTGCTCCAAACTATTGGGGAAACCGGCAGAAATAACTCAAATTCGCAGATCAACTTATTTAGATTATCATGTAAAACGGCCACTTTAAGGCAAATTTTGATCAAATTTCAGATAGAAAAGGAAAGAATTATAGGATTAAAAACCATTCAAAACTTTCACCTTTAGAAAAATATTGGAGTTTAAATTTGATTTAGGGATTTTTATCATAAAATGGCTGCAGGCGTGTAAGAAAAGGGGAGAGCCAGGAACAAATAAACCCCCCCCCCCGACCTTTACCTCAGAAGGCAAATAATTGATTATCTAAATAAGATTGGAAACGAAAAATTTATCATATATATTGGGGAAGGGGATGGGAGATGGTTATTTTTGATAAAATTTAAAATAATATATAACTAAATTAAAAAAATATATCTACAATTAGATTTTATTGCAGCTAGGGTATGTCAAATATTTGAACAAAAATACATTTACTAACGCTCTTAATGCAATACAATTTTAGGCTATTTTAAAATAAATACAAAAATGCTCAATATCTTAAAATAGTTTTAACTAGCAGCAAGGCTATATTTTAAAAAATTTTTTTTATAAAGGTAGTAAATAAATTTAGAAAGTCATACCGTTTCCAAATTATATTGATTAAAGCATAAAAAATTTTAAAACATTTATTAAACTTCTAATCAAATTCAAATGACCAACTTCCAAATTATTTTTTATCTGTTTTTGACCAGGCAAATAGGTAAAATAAATTATTTCTTAAATTTATTATGTTTCCATGGTATATATATTTCTAAGATCAAAATTTTATAACAATTTTTTTATATTGCCATAGTGGTCATAATAATTTTTAATTTGATAATAAATTAAAATATTTATATATTATTTATATGGTTATTTTTAGAAATGTGTCATAATCAATGGTCCCTAGCATATTTAGATATACAAAATGAACATTTGGATTATATCATACAGCAAAATATAAATTTACCAGAAGAAAAGAAGGAAAGCTATTTAAACTTAACTTTATATCCTATGACAGATAATGTGTTGAGTTCTAATTTTTTAATTGAACATAAAGATGACAATCGGACAATCTACCCGGACCCAAGCAAGAAATACCAATTTTATAAATGGTTTTACATGGACAATAGGGGCATAATCGTTGAAGACAAAAAAGATAATATGATGGTTACAACATATAAATTATCATTATTGAAGTTGCCCATTTTCGAAATTAACTATTATATTATAAAATAATAGAAATTAATACACCTTGTCTCAAATCAATCGAATTAGTTACGAATATTTATTTTTCGACAATTTAATTTATTTGTTCAAGCATGCCAGCCAAACTAATTTAGTATTTATATGCTAGATAAGTAGACTTTTTTTAAAATTATATGTTTAAATTATGCAACTAGAAGAAGTTTTAATTAATAAAAAATAAACTCGAACCACATTTTTGTCCCCATATTATCTTACATCATGATTCCTAAATTTAGTTAATCAAAATTATTAATCTTAATAATGTATCGACATTTATTTGATAACATTAATTAACAAATTCGGGGAGATAATTAGTACCCTAAAATTAAACTGTACTATTATATTAGCTTTAACTATATTTTTAATACCAAAAATATCCAAATAGAATATTAGACGATTTTTATTTACACTCTTACAAAAAAAAATCTTAAAATTTAATGATAAATATTCAAAAATTATATATATAATAAGGTACCTCAAAATGTCATTTTAAAAACTTTTAAACTCTACAAAGAATCATTCGATTTTTTTTTTGAACGAAATTAAGAATTTTATTTAAGAATACGTGAAACTTAACAGCTTTAACTTTTTTGGCATATGCTCAAGTCGGGTTTTAGAAAATTAAGATAAAAGAAAATGTTAAAAGACAAAAATTAATTTTTTTTCATAAACTGGCTAGATTTATTTTTATTATGTAGGACTATAGCCACTCGACTTTTTTGAAAATTTTTCTCAAATCATTAATCATACCACAAATTATTTTGGTCATCAAACAAATCTAAATTGAACGTCATTTCTTAACTCTAGTGACTTTTTTTTTACATAAATTTTTTTTTAAAATAATTATACCATCTCTATTTTAACATTAAAAAATCCGAAATATTTATAAAATAACTCAAATCGATGCTAAGTTAATAATCCGATAAAAAACAATAATTTAATTTTTAAAATTGCTCTCCTGTAAAATTATAAAATGTGGAGATAAAACTTCCAAATTCTCAGCCGACGATATGTTTAATTCTATATTTTATATGCGATCTGTTAAACGGCTAGATTTTAGCCGATTTTATAAAAACGGCTAACTTCAATATTTTACCCAGAAAAATATTATGCAAGCCCTGAAGATCTTGGTCATAGATGGCACAAATGTTTGGACATCTATTAACGAAATCTCTAAGTTTATACCATATTTTTTCTTGCTAAATTGAATATTTTTTAATTAAAATTTTGATTTGTCATTTAGAATGAGGTTTTTAAATGACAAATTTTTAAATTCCTTTTAATATTTTATAATAGGCTGCAACCCTATAGATCTTTTGAATAAACTTGAAAAATTGAAGAAAAAAAAGAAGATATTATTATGTGTTAAAAGAGAAAAACAAGACCATCCAATATGTATTTTGGGAAATCTAGTTACAAATTTTTTTTTTTGAAAAATTGAAGGTCTTAAGTTATATTTTTCGTAAAATCTTCGAATTTTCTTTCTCTTATATCGACATAATCAAATTACAAAAAAAAAATTGGGGATGTTAAGTTATATATATTCTTTAATAAAATAACAAAATTTAGTAAATAGAAAAAAAAAGGACAGGTTATGGAGTTGGAAAGATTTCAAAGCGTGACATATTATTTTGTCACCCAGTGTAACCAAAAGCTAACTTAAGTCGCTCTCGAGAGGGATAATCCATTAATCTTGATTATTTGTTTAATTTTTCCATATCGATTGATTGAAAATACGAACTATGAATATTTGTTGGGTGTGAATGATTTCATTTTAAATATTATTGATTTTTATTTGATAAAGAAGAGTGTATAATTTATGTTTACTAAAAAATTATTTTAATTTTAAATCATAGCACGGAACCATCGAAATAGAAGATGAATCTTATTTGATTAGAGGTAGACCTGTCGAGGGAGATCTAAGAAATTTGTATCGCTTAAAACGACTATCCAAGACCCGTAATGTACTACACAATGATCTCAAAGATTATATAGAGATACACAACAAGACAAAAGGTTTAAAAATTCTTATATGAGCATTTTACTATTTGTAAATAGATGAATATTTAAATTCCTTCTTTTAATATTCAATGTTTAAAAGTAATATCTTAGGAAATTAACCGTATTTTAGTCGGGTGCCTCTGGTGGCAATGGAGAGCTTTTCCCCAAAATTTACTGAATAAATTTTATTTTCGATTAAAATCTTTAATAAAAAAAATCACACGTAAAAATTATATCTAATATCAAATTGGAAAAATATTGCCTTCTGTAGTTCCAAGCTATCAAATAAAATAAAATAGTTTAAATCTTTCATATCATATCATTTAAATTCAAGGTTATTTTATAAAATGAAAATAGAGGAGATATATTTTCATTATATCTGGATGAAAATATTTCTATTTATTATATATTTAATCAATTCGATAAAGTTACTTGACATTTAAATATTTATTTGTAATGAATTAGCCAACAAATCAATAAAAAAGGCCAAGATTTTCAGTCCCCTTTTTAATGGTCCATATTATGTGGAAGCTATGTTTTACGTAGATCCCCTAAATATGACGATGACAAACGAAGAGTTAATTTCAGCCGCTGCTCAAGTAATAATTAATAATTCCATATTATAAAATATTTTTTCTATCTTTTAATTCATGAATATTGAGAAATGATTAACAAGCTATCCAGATCCCAGGTATACGTTTGGGTTTCACAAAAAAATAACATTTTACATATTTATTTAATTTTTATAATTAAAATATCATAGTTTGATTTTTATTAACCCGAATTTGTGTTTTCATCATGTGATTTTATTCTATTTAGAAAACTTTATTCTAATATGTTTAGGAGCAAGTTATAAATTAATTTTTCAATAGGATTGGGAACGCCATTCGTTGCTTGTTTCAAATAATGAGTAACGTGTTTCTCTCTCGTTACTCATGACTTTAAATGATTTCTATAGAAAATTTATTATATATCACTATTTTTTTTTTTAAATTTATAAATAATTTAAGTCTAGAGATAATTTCAGATCAACCACCATAGTTCTTCATTTTTATTTTATTTATTAAATTTTTGTTGCTAAGTTTTATAAAGTAGTTAATCTAATTAATATTAAATCAATCGGATATAGTCGGTCTAGAAATTGGAGGTCCACTAGAGATTTTTAAGATTTTCAAGATAGGAGTGGATTTCAATGATTAATTTATACTAAAGAAATATATATAGGTTAGCGACAATGTGTTTTTCCCGGTACTGTGTTATATCATATTTTGAATAGCTTATTTTATGTAAAATTCTGATTTTACCGGAAATCTGTGCTTTCATGTTTGAAATATCTACTGTGTATTTCAGACAATTTTTCCTTGAAACTTTAAGCTCAATATAATTTATATTAAATTTCCATAAGTTTTTATATAAATTATAAATGTCTTAAAAGTTTACAGCAAAATTGCCTACAATTTATAAGATAGGTATTTCAAACATGATAGAATATAATTATGGAAAAATCCGATTTCTAAATTTATAACGCGCTGAAAAGATTTTAATTTGAAATAATAGCACATTGCTGGAAAAAACAAATTGTCGCCCATTTTTGCAATTTTGTTTTAAACTTTTTATTAAATATCATTAAAAAAAATTAATCTCTTTAAAGTCCACTAAAACATAATTTACATAAAAAAAAATTTGAGTAACATTTTTTAGGGCTAACATTTAGAAAGTATTATAAATTGCCTCTCAGTTCTTACTTCAATCTAAGTCTTAAAATGTTTTTCCCAGTTTTAACAATTTTGGAGCACTCTAATTCTAGACCGAAGTTAAATTATATCATCTAATAATACCCTTTTATAAATAATATGTGTCAATAGTACTTAAGTTTTCAGATGAAGATGAATTAACTCTGCTCTAGTCTAATATTAAACAGTTTTTACATAAAAAAGAAAATTAAGGGCACTAAGTCTACGCTTTGTAATTATAGACTGTTCTTTAATACAAATATTTTAACATAAGTCCCAGCAGTTCATTTCTAAAAAAACTTGTGAAAATAAAACTATGAATTCAGATTAAATTCTGATAAAGATACATGGAAATTTATGAGGATCTAAAATAAGGATGCTTGTGAAGATGATCTAATTAGTTTTTTTTTTGAAAATAAATATCCTTCTTTAAATATTTATCATAAATTGTCAGTATTAAAAATTATAATTATAAATATAATAAAACCCTCTTATCCTCTACGCCAGTTGAACATGTGTTCAGCATAGCGAAAACTATTTTGAGCTCAAGAGCTCAATTTTTATCTCATTATTGAAAATAAATTGTTGGAAGAAATAAATAAATAAATTATCTACAAAAAAACTAATTAAAAAAATTTAATTAATAATCAATATTTAATCGAAATTTATCCAATTAAATTTGAATGCTTCTAACACTCATGATTTCAAATTCACTTCACTTGATGAATTAACATATTTAGTATCTTCTGTAGAAGGGCATGGGGCAATTTGCACCTTTCTTGACTCTTCATGATATTATCCCTAAATGGAAGACATCTTTACTCTTCTTCCTTCACGCAAGTCCTTTTTCTTGTTAAAAATCTCTTTTTTATACCAAGGATTTTTTAAGCACTCCGTCCAACACCGATTCCCTTTCCACTCCAAACATTCCAAAATGGAATAAATGTCTTAACCGAAAAAATAGTAAATTTCAGATTCAACGAAACCGCTTGGGCCCAAGCTTCGTTCCCAACCAAATTCGGTGGACTTAGCATTAGATCTCCCTTATCAATAACCTCTTTAGAATCGAGTAGCATCTTGTGAAAGCAAATAATCAACGCCCATCATTCTAAAGAAGACTCTCCCTTAATTGAGGCCATAAATAAAAACACGGATCAATGTTGATTCTCATCCCCCCCCCCCCACAACCAATATACAGACGGACTGGGATGCGCCGATAGTTGCTCCCTGCGTTAAAACACTCTTATCTAGCATGTAATCTACTGACCGCACCCTATTCATTTTTCTGCTCAATGTACTGGATATGAGTTTCTCAAGGTCATTCCTTCCTTCAATCTTCAACTTCAACATTAAAACAACGAACTTACCCACGCCATCGTTAGTCATCTAAACTGTTCCATAATCATCACGTGTCAGGTTGTAATTCGCCCGACTAGAACCCCAGGGTCATTTTAGATTCCTAGAGAGGACATTCATATATTGACCCCCGGACCCCATCTAACCAAGCACTCAACATCATTGTCCAAAATGAACAACTTAAAATTCCAAATACACAAAAATTTAAATGACCTTTGTTTCATTTCTATTATTTCAACCACACTTGCCAATTCGGCAAACTTGCACCACTTTTCAAAAACCTAAGATCACAAATCACCAAACTATCAGAAGAACCTAGTCATAGGTATCCTTAAAGCGAAATATATCAGCTTGATTGGTTGTCTACTAGCCAAAGAGCTTTACTAAACCCTTTTTACTTCTTATTTTTTTTCCTCGCTTTATACCCCCGGTCTTTATTGTTATTTTTTAAATTTTATGTACATACTTTTATCCCTTATTAATATAGACTATATATCTTTTTATATATTTTTTTAAATATTTTATATATATTTTTATAAAAATAAATAATGGTTTTTATATATTAAATTTTTTTTCAAAATCGTAGAAAACATATTATAAAAGTATCTTTTATTTAGTTCTCATTATTTTTTCAAATTTACTCTTAATAAATCATATTATGTCTGTATTTTAAAATAGTTGTTAAAGTATCACGTTTTCGATAAAAACGAAATTTTTTTAAAAAGTAAATACTGGCGGACAAATTTTATTATTCTTTCTTTTAACATTATTATTATACATATTAACTTAATAGTTTTGTTTTATTAACACTAACTAAAAATGATTAACATTATAGACTATTTTATTTATATTATTTTAGATGATATATAAAGCGTGATAATAAAAATAAGAAGTAGTACAAAAATATATTTATTCATGATCTATTCCGACAATTTTAACAATAGTTTTATAATATATTATTTTTATATAATTTTATTTTTATTATCTATGGGGAGAAAAGTAAATTTAAATATAATATTTCGTATTTTTTCGAGTAACGTGTCATTCTTTGATTAGCGAGGTAACACATTCTTTTTTCACAAGGTAAGAAGTAACGATAAAATTTAACGAATAACGCGTTTCTTTTTTTGTGGTAACATTTACAGTATTAAAAATGATTAATTTTAATTGATTAAACTACTATTTTTCTATACAATTTTTTAATAGGTTGATTACATTTTAAGGGATCCTACATTTCAAAGAGAAGCCCATTTTATTCTCAAAGGAATTAAACAATATGTAAATTACTTAAATTTTAAAATTTATTCTATATATTTTTTTTCTTAGTGCGGACCTGATATTAGAAAAGAAGAGGATCTTGATATATTTTGCCAATACACTGCCAACGCTCGTGCTAACAAGGAGGAAGATGTTTCTTACTTGATTTCGGCGTATAATTATTTTGAATTTTTTTATTTAGCGCGTTATAGATAATTTTTTTTAGACAGTTCATTGTTTGAAAGACACATTTTATTCCTTTTTTAAAAATCAGAGTTTATATAATATCTTCAAAAAAATTTTAAGCAAAAATTTTTCAAGTTATTTGTATACTTTACAATAGGCATAGTGATGTTAAACAGCTCGATTTGAGCCTATTTTTAAAAACGGCGAACTCAATATTTTATCCAGAAAAATAATACACGAGCCTGAAGATTTTACTCATAGATGGCACAAAAGTCTAGATATCTATTCGAGGAAATTTCGAGGCCTGGGCTATATATTTCTGGTTAAAATAGGCTCAAAGAAAACTCTTTTAACAACACTAAATTGGCCTATTCAGAGTAATTAAATAATTTATTATTCGTATTGTTATATAATTACGAATAATAATCAATCTAATTACTTAAAATTTGTGCAGGTGATGATACGTGGGAACTGAAAATGATGTGCCTAAATTTTGCATCTCACGTCGTATGATGTTTGAATAATATCATATTTCACTTAGGCCAAAATTTTTTAAAAACTCAAAAGAGTCTTTATGTAGGGCAAGAGGATTGTTAATATATTAGTTTCATTTTTTTAATACCCGGGAGTCCCTACTTTAGAATTTTCTTTCATTTTTTATTTCTTTTTTTAAAGGCAGGGTGCTTAAGTTATGTCGCGGAGATGGGCGAAGTCTTGATATAAATTAATTTTAAAAAAATCAAAAAATTTATGTCACAAGTCATATTTATAATCAGTCACATTTATTGAGAACTAGGATATAAATAAGCATAATATTAGAAAGTTTTATTTATAACAATTGACATTTAAAATATTTTCTTTCCATGACAATCTATTTAATAATAAGTATAAATATTATTTAATTTTGTTTTCCTTTACATTTTATATATTTCTTCATTTTTATTTAAAAAATTAAAATTAAAATACGATTTAGAAACTGGAATGAAGACGGGTTAGTTATCGGTATTCAATAAATATACAATATTTTACCTCAAACATGTAATTGTAAAGTATCATATTAGAAACTTGTAGTTATTGTTAGGAAAGAACTGTTTTTTTAAGGAAAAAATATTTAAACAAATTAAAATTTCTACTATACATTTCTCATGCTTAGACATGTGCGCCGTCAGTCAAATGCGCCGCCGCCGGTAATTTTGACATCGCCGACGCCGCGCACCAAAAAAGTGTCGGGGCTTAACACGCCGCCGCCGTAAAAATTTGGCGGCGTGGCGGCGTGATATATATTTTTTATTATTAATTTATTTTATATATTATTTATGAATTTTAATTAGAAGAAAAATATTAAATATTTTTTGAATTATTAAAAAATGCGATTTTATTTTTTAAAATTAATAAATATTATTTGCTATAAATTTGATTTGTAACAATCCATATTCGTTCACTTTGGGCAGATTTGTGACCAACGTGCTAGATAAAATAAGATGGACATTAAATTTGAAAAGGTAATTCTATATTTTATTCTTTTAATTTTTGATGCTTCAAATAATTTAAAACTCGTTATATAAAATTTATTTTTTATCATAATAGGAAATTTTAATTAATGATTTTTATTTTGTTGCCATTATAACATATATAAAAATACCAGGACTAAAGCATTTATAATGGATGCAGCATTGCAATATTCTGTAACAAAATATAGTATATCCTTCCAACAAAGCATTCTTTTGCATGGAAACATTTTAAATCCTTAATATTAAAAACTGACACAAATAATAAGAGGACCAGTGTTGCTACAGATAAAATCTTTTGTAATATATGCTTGCAAATAGCACATGATAAAGATGGTGAGGAAGAAAATAATTATTCATTTTCAGAGTAAAATTTTTGATTATTTTAAAAATATTTGCAAATTTTTTAATTAGTTATCCAATCAAATCTTTTTCAAAAAATATCAGCACATCAAATATAATAAAACATTTACTTGACAAACATGATTTATCATGTAAAGAAGAAATATCTAAACAAAATTTAAAGTTATTTTTCAAACCCATTGTAAAAGATACAACTGACCCTATAAAAGATAAAAAATGGATTCTGGTAAGGAATTATGTTCTCATGTGTTGCAAGGATTTAATGCCATTCTCCTCTATAAATAATACTGGAATGCAAGATTTTCTAAAGGTTATTTGTAAAATCATTATAATTTTTTATAGGGCAATTTTAATTTTTATTTGTTAAGATATTTAATTATTTTATAACATCCCACATTTAGAATTTTTTATGGCATAATATTTTATTATTAACTTTTTATTATGTAGAAATATGGCATTATTTCAGATGCCAAAGAATTACCTGACAGAACTACACTTAGCCGGAGTGGATTAAATGATGTTTATTTATCAATGAAAGCATACATATGCCAACAAATTAATGTAGGTCCTAAATTTTGTGCTATAACTTTTGATATGTGGACAGAAAAATATAGACGGCGAAATTATATCACCTTTACTTTTCACAAAATAGATTATAATTTTAATATTGTATTTTATACATTGGCGACACATCATGTCACCCAAAAACATACCGCTGAAACTATTCTTTCCGAAATAGAAAAAGTTGAAAATGAATTTGATTTAGGGTCCAAGAAAATTAAAATGGTTACGGATGCAGGACCCAATGTAAAGAAAAATGTTCGTCTAGGAGAATATGACCATCATTTATGTTTGGGGCATGGATTACATAATCTAGTGACAGTCGATGGAATAAAAAAAGTTAATAAAATTGAAAATCTCATTAAAAAAGTTAGAGAAGTTATAGTTGCCTTAAGATTCAAAACAGCGGATTTTGAAAATATAAACGATATAGAAAATAGAAAATGTTTTGAATCGATATCATATACATCGGATATTTTAGATTTGGATGATAATGATCCTTTTTATGAAGATCGTTTGGGGTATGATGATGATAGTGAAAATCAAAAATCATATGAGAAAAAACATAAAACCTTAAAATTAAATGTGTCTACACGTTGGCATAGTATTTTAATAATGCTGGAAAGTGTGACGCAATAACATAAATCCTATAAATATTCTATTAAATAGAATGGAGAAACCGGATCTCAAATTATTTAACTCCGATTGGGACTTGGTGTATGAACTTTTAAATTTTCTTATAACCTTCAAACAAACTGTTGAATTTTTATTTGTCCAAAAAGGAGTTACTATAAATTTAGCCTTATTATTTCGTAGTGAAATTAAAAATCATTTAATTGTAAAAGAAAATGATAGTCCACCCATAGCATCCCTTAAACAAAATATGCTTACTAAATTTGATCATAGATTTCCAATAACCGATCTTCAGGTAGTATTTTAAAATACATAAATTATTTTTTATACATTATTCTTTCTTTTATTTTTTTTACTTAGGTGTTAGGAGCACTTTTGGATCCTCGTTTTCAATCAATAAACATAGTAAATGAATATTTAAAGGAAAAAAATATTACTCCGGTTATATTTTTATGTCAACACGCTACCTCTCTACGGTCTTACACGGACGAATTAAACGAATGTGAAACGACGGAAGTTGCTTCAAAACTCGATTATCTCAAGTCATTGGCTACGAAACATTCATCTATTAAAAACAATAACCTGGAACAACAAGGCTATTTAACTAGTTTAATGTTATTCATTATTTTCGCCTTATAATTTGGAGATAAAAGATGCCTTAGATTTTTGGAAGATATGAACATTGGATCTTCCTAAACTTTCAATATTAGCTAGAAAGGTCCTGTGCGTTCCAGCTACGAGCACACCCAGCGAGCGTGCCTTTTTTATTGGGCTCACTCTTAACTCTAAAAGATTATTATTATGTCCTTTAAATCTTAATAAAATAATATTTATTCATGATAATTATAAGTTAATGAAATCATTAAATTATAGTTATAAACATATAAAATTTAAATTTTATTTTAAAAGTGTTTCCAATAAATTTATAAATTTAATTTAAAAAATTTAAGTTAGAAAAATATTTGACGCCGCCGCGCCGCCGCCAGCCAATCATTTTAAAAAGAAACGCCGCCGCCGAAAATGCTGTCGGCGCACATGTCTACTCATGCTACAATTTAATCATTTTATTTTATATAATATATTCTTTTTTGTAAATTTTTAATCATCAAAATTATTTTATAAACTTGATCATTTTTGTCAAATCATGAATTTTTAAAAAAATATTATTAATACTTATTTTGAATTTTATTTCTTATATGTTAATTTATACATAGTTTGCATTCTCAAATAAATAAAAATAAATGTATGATATTTACGTATTATGAACTAAAAGAGGGATAAAGAAGTGTTTCAAAGAAACACTTAGTTCCGTAAATTACTAATCTTCTAATAATTTTTTTATAAAAAAATTAAATTTTAATAAGATTTCTTCTTTACGTTTCTGTTTTATCACTGTTTGCTCTCGTTATTCTATGTTTGGAAAAAATCATTTTTTAAAATATCCTTCTTTATTTTATATAATTTAAAATTAAACTCGTAACGGTTCTTATGATATCTTAAAATTACAAGTTTAAAAAGTAAAAACTTTAAGTTCGAAAATATATTTAAACGACGTAAAATTAGAATTTCTAGCTTTTACAAGCCTTAATTATTATTTTAAAACAAATGTGTATTTTATATTTTCATAGGTTATGCACCAATAGAAGGTATCTGCGATGCGCAGAAAAGTTGTTCTTTAATTCACCCAACGGATACCGAGATAGCGAAAACCATTGGACATGAAACGGGCCATTTGTAATTAAAATTAATATTTATTTATAACATGTATTATGACCTCTAAAAAATAAATAAATGTGAGAAATTGAGAAAGCTTGCGATATAAGCAAGAGGAACCTTTTTAGAAAAGTTTATGTTATTAAACCGATTTAAGTCGAAAACGGCTATTTCAATATTTTA